AACCGCCACGCGCCTCGGGGCGCACGGCGGGCAGAAAACCGCCGCGCGCCCCGAGCGCGCGGCGGGTAGAAAACCGCCATGCGCCCCGAGCGCGTGGCGGGAAGAAAAAACGTCGCGCGCCACGGGGCGCGCGACAGACAGGACAGCAGCGGAGGCAGATGGGCCCACAGGCCAGGAGCGATCACGCTCTGATAGCATGTCAGAATCCCAGCCACTAGACCACTGGGATAAAAGGGCTTGTTAAGTAGCGGGTCAGTGCGCCCATAACCCCCCAGGCCAGCGAGCCTGTAACCCTTCCCTAGGATCAATCGGGCATCCACAGTGTTGGTTTTCAGACACAGTCTGCTCCGCCACTACGTGGCCCCGCAGTCGTCCGACATGGCCCGCCCCACAGTTGCACCAAGTGGTCGGCCTGTAGCAGATCCGACACTCCAACCGTCAAAGATCCTGGCTCATCGCATCCGTGCGACACCGGCAGGACGCCACGTCGATTTCCTTCTACGATGGGTAGATCGCACCAGCGAAGACGACACGTGGGTCCCGGCTGACTCGCTGCAAGGTTACTCGGCATTACGGAATTCTCTTTCCCGACGACGAGTGCCTGATATTGACCACCTTTCTTAGAAGGGGGGGTGGTGTAAGGAATTTTTCTTATTCCTTACTGAGGCACCTTATGCGTGTATGTCGAAGAGAAAGGCCCCGCCCTCGTTTGGGCGCAGCCGATCTCGCCGTCGACGAGAATTTCGCGACGGATTGGTCGACGAAATGGGCTTCTGCAGTTCGACGGAAGTTGCGGCTGAGCAGGCTCTGCTCGACAGAATCTGGTCGACGAGCTCTGCGCGACGAGCTCTGGTCGACGATCTCTGCGCGACGCTCCCGTCGAAGTGCGCTGGTCGACGATCCTGGTCGAGGAACTCTGGTCGAAGAGTTCGGGTCGAGGAACTCTGGTCGAAGAGTTCGGGTCGAAGAGCTCTGCTCGGCGAACGCTGTTCGACCGAGCAATGTTGAGCTGATCGACCAAAGTTGCAGAGTTGTGCGAAACTCTGCGGAGGCGTGCGAACTTTCGCCCAGGAGATTTTGGCGAAGTTCTACCTGCGGAACGGCAGAACGTGCTCGACGGTGCGCACCTGGCGAAACCGACGACACGTTTTCTACCTGGCACCTGCGCAATGTGCCTGACGGTGAAACCGCCAACCTGCACCTATTTGGTAGGTGCGCACATCTGCGCAGATAGACAACCTGCGACTGCAGATAGTTACCTGCGACTGCAAATAGTTACATGCGACTGCAGTGCTGGCAGACCGCGCGCAGTGCAACGTTGGCAGACAACTCTGCTGCAACGTTGGCAAGCCGCTCTTCTGCTGCGCTGGCAGATTTCGCCCTTGCTAGGTGTTGCATGCCATTATAGTCCTTTTGTTCTGTATGCCTCAATTGTACTTCCAACTTTTCAATTCAAGTTGTTATTTTCCTTAGTGGAATTCTTGCCAAACTTCTGTGTGAGCACAAGCCAGTAGTAAGAACGTTAGCGCAGAGCTACGATCACTCGCACAACCCCGTGCCCTCCACCGTAGTCCACTCCCGTTGTGTAGTGACTCTCCGCAGCGTACAACTCCAACTTTCGGAGTTCAGGCTCGGTCCGACGACCTCGCCTTCCGAACGTCCCCCGCGTCGCCTTCGGGGTTTCCAACCCCAAACCTGCACCCGACCTTGCACGGTCCTACGACCTCGGCCTAGCTAGCTCTTGCTATATTATCCCTAGGCCTCATTAATTGCTCAGACGTTGTAATCACTTCCGCGATATTGCATTCTGCTCAACTCTTCTTCTTACAACTCATAACAGGCTGGGTCCGTCGTCCACAAGCGGAATGCCTTGGTACAGTAACGTGCCTCAAAACGGTGAATGTGGAAAGGAAAAACGCTGCTGCCACGTAACGTGCGCTTACCGACGTCGTCGGCGTGGAGTCCTGCGGATGTGTGCATCAGACAACCAAGCTCATTGCTGCAGCCGTTTCGATGCGAGTCTTTTTCGTCGGCCATGTGCTCTCTCCGAATTCTTTTTGTACACCCACTTTGAACATAATTCGTGTACTGTACACGAAGAAAACCCACCATTTGGTGCCTGTCCTCATTGCAGGATCATTTCCCAGCACACGTTAGAACTTCCGGAAAATGCAATATCGGGCAGTTTGCGAGTCAAATATGTGATTGACTTTCGCACCCGCATTTCAAGAACAGACTGTCGTTTGTGCTCTCCTGGGGGGAATGTTGCTCATCACGTCGACTTCATCCTTGGCACGTCTCTCGGCTCGGGCAGGTGTACAAGGCAGCTTCAACACACCAGCATTTTTCTCCATATGTACAGTACAGTATGACTGTACGGACTGAAATAAAAGACAACCGAGAATGAACTGTAGGTACGTATTCTGTGGAAGAAGTACACACGTTTACTGTAATTCAGAACTCGTTTACTGTAGTCGGGCAGTCGACGATACATCGTGCATTTGTCTTGTCGAAGTCATGGAATCCACAATGCCAACCTGGTGGTGTCGAGACAAGAGCAGTGCGTGCGATGCGATGCAACGGGGTCATCGACACAGTTCCATCCAAAAGTCTCCTCTCCTCCTCCCCACAGTTGACAATTCGGGCAGATGCAGATTTCCTTGCCCTGATATTCCTCCGAAGTCCCGTTTCCGCTGGGATATTCCCCGTCAACTGTGCAGTTTCGTTCGTTTCTGCACAACTGCAAGTTGGCGCTGCCAGTCAATGGTGAAATGTGGAGAGAAGCACGCCTCGGCTCGGCGGAATTCAAGAGTGTGTTTTTCAACCTCCCGTCACGTCCGTCAGGTCTGGTGTCAGCGGAACGCGCAAATCGCGGTTGAAATGACAGGACACGGTGCGCCCAATCCCCCTCCTCCCCCTCCCCCCTTCTCTGTGGAACCGCCCACTGGCGGGCGTGGCGAGCTTGCGAATTCTCAAATGCCCGTTTCGTTTTCGCACCGTCCCTTCCCCCCCTTGCGGCAGTCGTCGTTTTCCTCTCGTTCTGGCACCAAATGCAGCACCCACTTTCGCCATCCACGCTTTTCGCCGTTTCCACCACCTCCCCCTTCTCCTGTACGTAACAGAATGCAGGTGGACGAGCACAGCCGACGAAAAAAGCAGCACTGCCCGTTCATCGCCGATGTTTGTAAGGTTACAATTTGTGACCCACCGACCCATTCTCGTTTTGGCTGGCTAACTCCTATTGGCTGCGAAATTTCATCTGCCTCTCCTTCTCTCCGCAGTTTCCCGCCGACCGCAGCAACCCCACCTCCCGTGGCCTGTACAGCACGTTACGTTCGTTGGCTGCAGTATGCTGAGACCTTTGCATCAACGTGCCCACCACCTCCCGTCAGTTTAGGAATCTAGTGTTGACAAAACGAACAAGGCCCTTTTGTGCTGATACATACAGTACAGTACACAGGTCCCTCACTCACAGAGAGTCCCTTCTGAGTTCAAGAGTCTTGATTCGGATCCCGATTCCTCCTAACGCATTCAGAATCCGAATTTCTCCCTCCTAGCTCACATAGGTGTAACTGCGTGCAGACCAGTGCGGCTCCGTCGTAGTCGTCGTCGTCGTTTGCGCATGCATATGCGCCGCACTCAACCGAACCGCACCATAGTCCAGCCCATGTGACCGCATTGTACCCCATCCCACTCCCTCAGCGCCTCACTGGCTTTTCAGCCATGCATCGGTCACCCATCACCACCGACAGCCCCTTGCAGTTTTCTTCTCGAAACTGTTGCAACGACCTTCCGACGGGACGGACAGGACGTCTCAGCAGGGGCTGTCATGAAAGTTGCTCTCAGAAACTCTCAGCAGCAGCCTCGGTGCAACTTTCGGGGCAGGCTTCGCGCATTATTGTAACGAAGATCCTTCTTGGGTCCCCGGCCAGTCCCCGGCCCGCCCCCGTTCCGTTCTGTCTCGTCCCATCTCCGATCTGCAGCTTAGAAGAATGCCTCGAGGCACCCCGCAGATCCGCTACCACCTCCAGCTTCGTGTACTAAAGGCGCGAGAGGCACCAGATTATTTCATTCCAATGCTCTAGGACTCGAACTTGCGCTTTTATTCTTCATTACTCCTCGATCCATTTGAAGCTCCCATCTCTCAGGGAGAATCGCTAGTTTCCCGTCTTCCCTCGGCATCCTAATCGCTTTATCAAGGCGACTCGACTAGCTGAGAAAGCTTTCCAGCTCTGCGACATCAAAACCCAGATCTTGGGAGTAAGCGGTATCCGACTCCCCAATCTGCTCTCTCCTGTTCCAACGCGAAACTCGGAAACAGCTTAGTAATACGCAAGTATATTCGTTTTGAACGCCTATTGAGTTACTCCAGCATGGCTTTGGCTGCTCGATCACCCTCTGACGGCCTGCTAACCGGCAAATCTGCCGGCCGGCGCGCTCTGCCGGTGCTCCGTCAGGCCCCTGTTTCGCTCCTCTGCGCCGTCGACTCCGCTGCGTCCAAACGAGCGGGCTTCCACGAAGCTTCCAACTCGGCGGTCTTTAAAGCCAAGACCAGCCTATCAGCGGCGGACTTGCTCATGCTTCTCAGCCCCACGGTAGCAAGCTCCGCGAATATCGGCGCGATTAATGGCGGTCCGTACGCGTGCCGCGAGTGCTCCAACAAGTTCCCGTCGCTCCACTCGCTTGACTTCCACTACCAGACGTACCACACTAAGGACAAGAAAAACCGCCCGCCTGTTGGCCACCCGGTGGGCGGCAGCAGCAACAGCGCGGAACCTGCCGGAAGCGGCTCCGCCGCGCCGAGCAAAAGCGGCACTCCGCCGCCCCCGCGGGTTGCGGGCCGTCGTCCGCACGTGGCGGCGTCGCATGAAACTTTGGGGGAATCTGGAAGCGCCGCCAGCGCCGCGGCGGCGTCGCAGAGCCAGCGACGATCGCCGTCGCTGTCGCCGTCGCCGTCTGCGACGACGGTTCCGTCGCCTGGCGATGTCGCCGCGGGTGCGATGGCTACGGCGACCGGCGCTGCGAAGTCATCGTCGCAGCAGCGGCGTGGCGCTAAACGGAGCCGCGCTGACATCCAGTCGGGCGGGGCGAATCCGTCGGCACCTTCCACGAAAAGGGGCGGCAGGCGCTGCGGCGGTGTTGCTTCTGAGAAGTTTCCTGGGCGCTTGACGGAGCTCGGCGGCTGCATCGCAGGAGCTCAGATCACGACAAAGGAAGCCGGCCGAGCAGAGTCGATTAAAGTGGAGTCACAGCGACTCGGCCGTCCCGGAATTGCGGGGAAATGGCAGCCACCGAGTGTTCTTGTGGGTGACGTCCGTCGCGACGGAGGCGCGCTCACTCCGTCAGACACGTCAGCAGTGCCGCAGCCACGTCGGATCGGCGCTCTCGCAGGGTCCTGCCTGACCCTGACGGATCGGATGAACTCGCTGACGTCATCACTGACGGACCTGACGGTCGCCGGGAGCAATCCCGTTAGCCCGACGACCCCCACCAACGTGCTTCTGTTTGGGGGAGCTTCTGGTCGCGCCACGAAGGGCGGAGCCACGAATGGCGGCGGCATTGGCGCCGCAAATGGCGGCGGTTTCAATGGCAAGGTTCCGGCGCAGGCGTCTCAGCTGCAGCAGCTGATGGCTCTGGTGATGCAGGAGCAGGAGAAGCGGGGGAGACTTGTGCGGAAAACGGAGCACACTGTAACGGAGCAGAGAGTCGAGCGGCTTGAGCCTCACTGCCTGCAGCCTCAACAGTCAGTGGCAGCATCAGATGCTAAGGGAATTACCTCCTTAAATGCATTATGGACCATGCAGCCTCCTAACCCAACCAGCAGCTGTCAAGCACAAAGGCCCTCACATGCGAATCCTGCACTCGCCTCAGTTCGTCAGGTGGTAACCAATGCAACCCCTGGCGCGCCTGCTGCTGATTCCCCGTCGTTTCCTGCTCTGGCTCGTGCTGACGGGAGGCAGGGACCTGGTGACGTGGCAGGAAGCCAGCTCAGCATGCTAGTGGCTGTGCTGGCTTCAAGGCTTGGTCAGCAGAAGGCACCAGTAGCAACAGGAGGAGAGGGAGCAGTAACCATGCAGGAGTGTGGGGAGATGGAGCTATTGAAATGTGTCAAGGGGCAAGGAATTGCAGGGCCTGCTGCTATGGTGCAATGCAGAGAGGTGGACTTGGATCTTAGACTGTAAATCTAACTGATTGTAGTATGTCAGTGAGTGTGTGTACAGCTCTGCACAGTTGTCTGTTCAATACTTGTAATAGAACCCCTAACTAACTCAGTACAGTTTTCCAATAGGAGATGGGGTTTGAGAGCAAGAACTAGAGGTGTGTGTGCTCAATGAAAGGCAACACTGGGAGAGTAGTGTGGGCACCCCCTCAGTTTCCAGCATTTTTTACCTGGGTGGATTAGGGTACGTTCTGGGCTGGTGTCAGGCTCGCTGACACAGGCTAATGGACAGGGCCTCAGATTCGTTTTTTCCTAGGCTGATACGTCGGCCTTACCAGGTGTTACGAGTGCAATTGAACGAGCGAGTGAGAATTGCACTATCGAAGCAATCAAATACAAAACGAGCGAAGGCATGAGCGAAGAATATATAGCGAAGCTATCGTGGTAACGGTAATGCGGGAAATTGGGGTGCGCTACGGGCCTAGCGCCGAGGTTGGGAATTGTCGAGGCGGAGGTCCGGAGCGCGGGTTACCAACCGAACCGTGAGGTTGGGTCGCATTGTGAACAGTGGCGGGAGTCGTGGTCGAGGCGAATGTCGCGAGCGGGTAACGTTCACGGATGGGTGCCGATGGCGGGAACAGGTATGTACGCGGTAAGCAGGGACACGAAGTAAGGAAAAGGAATTTTCCTTACACCAGGCTGATCAATCAGAGTTGTTCCCAAAAAAACAAGCTGAAGTTTCAGAGAAGTCCCCAAAAAAATCGCTGACTCATCAGCCTCACTAAAAAACTAAGGCTGAACTATTTTGAAGCACTAGGTAAGTTCATTAAATTTAGCAGGCCTAACAATCAAGGAAACACTACATGATATTAACTGCTCATATCATCATCTTCATCACTAGAACTACCTCCTGCATCTCCTACTGGCTCCTCATCATCTACATCTATGGGGTCGTCATGCTTGCCCTTCTTGTTGTTGTCGCCTGGGGTTGGGGTGCAGATGGGAGCATTGCTGAAAGGCTTACGCTTTTTGTAACTCCGCCATATCTCAACTACCTCATCGTAGTTGGGCTCGTACTGCATGAGGGACATACACATGAGGTCCCCCAGCCTCGCGTCCTTGATCCCCCCTCGCCGCCATGTCTTGATCATGTTTTGCCGGGTGAATCCCCTTTCACACTCCACTGTGCTGAGGGGAATCACAGCCACCGCCACCCAGAGCTGCACCAGATTGGGGTAGCTCTCCCGCCAGTCTGGCGTCTTGAGGATCGCCGTTAGTCCGCTGTGGAAGATCCTCTCTTCCTTGGGGGCACGTGCAAGGACTGAACAAAAGAGGCGAAGCTCCTTGCCTGCCAGCCTCTTGTTGATGCCTGGTGGAAGGGAGGGAGGGAGGGTGAAGAAGAGGCAAATGAGCAAACAGCACAAGGATTTGTCAGAGGTCCACTGGTGATCCCCGATCGATCCTAGGGAAGGGTTACAGGTGTGGTGGCATGGGGGGTTATGGGCGCACTCACCCGCTACGTAAACAAGCCATTTTATCCCAGTGGTTAGTGGTTGGGATTCTGACATGTTATCAGAGCGAAGGTCTTGGGTTCGAATCCCGGTGTGTGCACTTCGGGCATCCCAGTGCGGGGGAGTGTCAGAGGTCCACTGGTGATGCCCGATCGATCCTAGGGAAGGGTTACAGGCGTGGTGGCCTGGGAGATTCTGACAGGATTCTCAAACATAGGTATGAAATCATGACTTGATTGAAATCATTAGCCATAACGAACTTGGCAAGATCTCCTCACGGTCCTGAGCCTTGAACATCGTCACTAGCGAGTGAAGCCATTCCTGGCAACGAGCATTCCGCTCAGACTTGCTTTGTGGCCATGCATCAGGTGTGAACAGGCGGACTCCAGAGAGCGAGTCGAGATCACCGAGCCTTCCCTCCAGGTTCGCCACGATCCTCTCTGCGAACTCGGTGCACAACTGGATGCAGCCGTCGTGGTCCTCCGGGCCGCTGTACGAGTCCACGGGCTCGTTGTGAAGGGTGAACGTGATAGAGGATGGTCGGTCGTCGCTGTCGACACCTTCCACCTTCACTTCGCGGCTACACCCCGGGCCATGGCGCTCCAGGAAAGGTGACAGCCACTGGCTCATGCCACCGCCGAAGTCATCTCCGCAGTCCACGTAGCGGCTCTCGATGTGACGGGTTGTCCACTTGATCTGCGCATGCAAAGACACCAGATCGAGCTGGACAGACAAAGGCACACAGTGACATAGTTAGAATGGTGAATAGGGTGACATGCGTAGTTATAATCGTACCACCTCACCTAAATCTGCTGGAAGGTCTTGCTCAAGATGTTGAGCTGCTCAAGCACATCAGCCAGGAAGTAAAGGAAGAAGTGAAAACGGTAGGAGCTTGCCAGCGCGTACATCTTGCTGTTAAGCTCCTTTAGCAGCACAATCACTGCCGGCAAAACAGCGACAAGGCGACGGACGGCATCCCCCCTTGACAGCCACCGAACGGAGTGGATGCCTTGCATTTCAAGGCTCGTTTCGGTGATGACCTCTTGCAGATCCATGAACCGTGCGTGGCGCGGTCCCGACCGACCAAGCAAATCGGCCACAGCCCGGATGAGATCGTCGACCATGTCGAAGACGGGGAGCTCCTTTGCCGCATCCTTCGCTGCAAGTGCCTCCCTACAAGTGGAACACATCAAACTCGGGAAATTAGAGACAAGCTCGAACAAGATGGCGTGACGGCTTAAAACGAAACAGCGGAGCTCACTAACCTGTGAGTGATGCAGTGAATGGAGACAAGGTGCGGGATTTTCTGTCGCAGTCGGACAACCAGGCCGGCCTTAGACCCCATCATCACTCTTGCGCCGTCTGTGCTAATGCCGGAAATCCTCTGCAGATCGACACCGACTGCCTGCAGGTGGGAAAGCAGGATGCTCAGAAGAGAAGAAGCGTCCGCCTTTTCCACCGTGATCAGCTGCATGAACTCGGTCACGAGGACGTTGTCGCGGATGAACGACGCGTACAGGATCATGTGCTTCCCCCTGAGCCGATCCGTGCTTTCATCGATGCAGATGCCGATGAAAGGGCTTGTCAGGATGTGCTCCAGCTGAGTTGTCTGTAGCCAGGTATCAACGGCCTGCGTGAGCTCACTGAAGCCGTACCTGCCCGCAGGGAAGCCGAAGACAGGAGATTAGAAGAAGGTTACGGTAGGAACATAAAAACACCAACACAATACAAGGGGTGACTAATACTCACGATGCGTAGTAGGTGCCATATCCCTTCTTAGGGAAGCCCTGGACACCTTTGCGCACGAGGTACTGCACCAGCTTTACCCATGTTCCCATGGGCGCATCGCAGGAACTGACGAACATCATGGAGTCGAGCAACGCCGTGACTCGGTTCTTCTCAGCATCGACGGCGGCTCGATGTTGGTCGATCCGTGGCTGCCTTGAAGCCGCGTTCAGCAGAGCCTCCTGCTTCTCCATCGCCAGCTTGTGTTTCGTCGTACCGGCGTGCTTGCGAAACGCCTGCGTCTGCACGTCGGTCGCCCCTCGCCCTGTCCGGCCACATCGTCCCTTGACTCCGGCATGCTTGGTGCAGACACTGCACTTAAAAGCAGGGAAACCCGATTTAGATTTGGTTAGCACAAGCCACGGGAACCTCTCTGACCACTTCGTTTTGTATTTAACAAGAGCGTCTGCATAGACGGCTTCAATGGCCTCAGAAACGTCTATGACCAATGATGGACGAGGGGATGTATTGTTCACGGTAGGTTGCTCGACAGCGGCGCTAGAAGATGGCTTTGCCCAGCTCAGCGTCGACTGCTTCATCTTGAAGGTGCGCGGGGCAGAGGACTTCGTTGTTGGCGACTCGACAACCACAGTGTCGGAGACGGCAGCAGGCGCAGCAGGCTCACTCCGGATGGAATCCGGGCTTGAACAAACCGGTGGGTGGTCGCGGTTAACCCTCTCGACTAGAGCAGGCTTTGCAGTAGGAGGCCTGGGAGCGAGGACAACAGTGCCAAGCGAGCGCAGGAGCATATCAAGCCCCGTCCTGGCTTCCTCTAGGCCGTCTAGTTCATCGCTAACCAAGCCTTCTGCAAGGCCGGCCATGGCTGAAAGGGGAGAGCGTGCCGAGCTCCAACGTTGCTAGCTAGGGTTTGAGAAAACAAGGGCGAGAGGCGGGGATTGACAGTGCAGCTCGAATGGTGGGTGGGTACGGTGGGGTCATCAAGAGAGAGCCATAAAAGAAGGCCCTCTCGTTCTCACCACCCAACTGCAACGCGGCGCGACATGGGGGCACCATGCACGCACTTGGATGCAGGTTCGGCGTGGGTGAGATGGGGTGAGGTGGGTGTCCTTGTCGTGAGTGCGTGCGGTGTGTTGCTGTGCTGCACTGGTGGTGGGTGATTGGCCCATAAGGGATGTGATTGGTTAAACAACCAATCACATCAATTTAAGCATTCTGTCGGTGACAACGAAGCATCCGACGCGTCGGGAAAATTCGTTTTCCCCCCGCGTCGGCGCTGTACATGGCAACTTTTGCGTGATTGACGGTGGATGTACCTGGACAGCCGAAACTCACGGCTACAGCACGAATATGTAATAGCGTGAATTCAGCCTACACTCTCGTTACAACACTGATCAATCAGCCCACACTTGTAAAAAAACGCTGAAGAATCAGCCAATACATTAAAAAAAAAGCTGAACAATCAGCCAATACATTAAAAAAAAAACTGAAAAATCAGCCAACACATCAGCCACATGTCTGGGAAATCAGCCTCCAAAGGCTAAATCAGCCTTTTTTCTCTGACTTCTGAGGGCCTGCTAATGGACCATCTTTATCAATCCACGTCATCATTGTCAAAGTCTACCAAAATCCCAACCTTTCAGAGCTTGGTGGTGTCAAGATTCTAGACACCAGCCAAGAACGTACCCTTAGGGTGCAAACTTGGATTGGACCGGCTGAAAGCAAACATGGGGAATCAAATGTGGTCAGCACTCAAGTGCCAAGTCAAATGTGGTCAGCACTCAAGTGCCAAGTCAAATGTGGTCAGCACTCAAGTGCCAAGTCAAATGTGGTCAGCACTCAAGTGCCAATTCAAATGTGGTCAGCACTCAAGTGCCAAGTCAAATGTGGTCAGCACTCAAGTGCCAAGTCAAATGTGGTCAGCACTCAAGTGCCAAGTCAAATGTGGTCAGCACTCAAGTGCCAAGTCAAATGTGGTCAGCACTCAAGTGCCAAGTCAAATGTGGTCAGCACTCAAGTGCCAAGTCAAATGTGGTCAGCACTCAAGTGCCAAGTCAAATGTGGTCAGCACTCAAGTGCCAAGTCAAATGTGGTCAGCACTCAAGTGCCAAGTTAAATGTGGTCAGCACTCAAGTGCCAAGTCAAATGTGGTGCAAAAACAAAGGTCAAGAAATACGCTCCCAGGTGGGCTTGAACCACCGACCTTATGGTTAACAGCCATACGCTCTAACCAACTGAGCTACGAGAGCTGTTTGCGGTTCGGACCGTAAAAAATCAGCATGTTATCGACCTACCCCTTTGTGCACATGCACTCCAAGTCTTCTACCGCATTCTGTACCACCTAGCAATGACGACAGCAGAAGCCGGAATTGTCGAGTTCCTAGACGCCACAAGCGATAAACACGGCGGTAAAGGAAAGAAGCGGCAGCGGAAGCAGCTGTCCTCGTCGTCCTCATTTCTAGACCGCTTCGACAGTGGTAGCGAGGATGAGCAAGAAGGGGGTAAAACTCGTAAGCGCGGCGTTCTCTCGGCCACAAACGGAGACGCTTCTAACGGGGCAGAGACGACACTAGGGGAGAGAAAAAAAATACCGGAAACGGCGGCAGCAGCAGGGCTATTATTAGACGGAGGTGACACTAACGAGGGGCGAGGTGTAGAGGATCGAGGAGCACAGGGAAGAGATTTAGAGGCGGGACCGGTTGTTGCGCAAAAAGGGGGAGATGCGGGGGCAAAGGGGAAGGGGGCTTCCGCTGCGCGCAAGGCGAGGGTTAAGGGACAGGGTTTATTGGGATCTCAGGCGGAAGGTTCTAGGGGAGAAGGGTTGGGAGATGAAGAAGAGGGTTTTGCGGAATTCGTAGAGGAGGAGGATGAGGAAAGAGCAGGAGAGAGTGAGGGAGAGGAGGAGAGTGAGGGAGAGGAGGAGAGTGAAGGAGAGGAGGAGAGTGAGGGAGAGGAGGGAAGTGAAGAGGATGAGTTGAGCGGAAGTGAGAGTGAGGAAGGGGAGGAGGAAGGAGAGGAGGACGGAGAGGAAGGAGAGGAGGAGGAGGAGGATGGCGACGGCGAAGGAGCAGCAGGGTCGGCACCAGCGCCTTCGTCATCTTTCGCGACTGCCTTCGCGAGCATCATGGCGAAGAAGGTCCCTGTTACCGGCAAGGTGCGCGGGAGCAACGGGGTTTCGGGTTTGGGAATTTCCGCCCCTCCTCCTCCCCACTTCCCCCAAGCGCCCATCCAAGCACTCCCCCCGTTCCCCCCCTTCCTCCCCCAAATCCTCCCCCAGGCGCCCATCCTAGCAGCGCGCAAGGGGCCGTGGAGGAGGGGAAGACAGCGGCAGGGGAGGGTGCTTGATTTTCTCGTTACTTCCTCTCGTGTTGCATCTCTTCCCGCCTCCCCCAAACCCTCCGCCAGGCGCCCATCCTAGCAGCGCGGAAGAAACTGCTGGATGAGGGGAAGGAGGGGAAGGGCGTCTCTTATCCGCCCTTGCGCTAAATCCCCCTCTTTCCGGTCCCCCCACCCCCTTTCTCCCAAACCCTCCCTTCAGGCGCCCATCCTAGCAGCGCGCGAGAAGCTGCTGGAGGAGGGAAAGGCGGCGGGAGGAGAGCGAGCTTCATTCACTCCTTACCTTTTTTCCGCCTTCCTCCACCCTTCCCCTTCCGCCTCCTCCCCCCCTGAACCCTCCCTTCAGGCGCCCATCCTAGCAGCGCGCAAGAAGCTGCTGGAGGAGGGGAAGGGGGCGGCAGGGCGTCCCCTATCCGCCCTTCCGCTAAACCCCCCCTCTTTCCTACCCGCCCACCTGCTCCCCCCCCACATTCTCCCCCAGGCGCCCATCCTAGCTGCGCGCAAGAAACTGCTGGAGGAGGGGAAGGCGGCAGCAGGGGAGGCGAAGGCGAAAGCGGAATCTGTAGCTGAGAGGAAACAGGCGAAGCTGATGGTGAGTGATTGGAGTGCCAGGGATGGTGTCTTTTACCTGTACATTCCTCATGCTCCTGAAAGAGAAAAGGGATGGTGTCTTTTACCTGTACATGCCTCATGCTCCTGAAAGAGAAAAGGGATGGATGAGGGGAAGGCAGCAGCAGGGGAGGCAAAAGCCAAAGCAGCGTCTGCTGCTGAGAGGAAGCAGGCGAAGCTGATGGTGAGTGGAGGGAGGGATGAGGGGTAGGTTGTTGGGGCGTCCTTAGAAAGGGAGGCAAAGGGGAAAGGGGAGGAGGGGGAGGCAGCGTCTGCAGCTGAGAGGAAGCAGGCGAAGCTGATGGTGAGTGCGTGGAGGGATGAGAAGTTGGTTGTTGGGGCGCCCTTGAAAGGGGGGCGAAAGGGGAAGGTGGCAGCGGGGGAGGCGAGGGCAAAGGCAGCGTGTGCAACTGAGAGAGGAATGCCAGGAATGGTGTAGCCTGGCTGGCATGGTGCTATCGAAATAGCTCTGGCATGATGTTGTTGTACCCCGCGTGTTGACTTTTGAGTCGACTCAAAAGTCAACTCGGAATGGTGTAGCCTGGCTGGCATGGTGCTAGCGAAATAGCTCTGGCATGATGTTGTTGTACCCCGCGTGTTGACTTTTGAGTCGACTCAAAAGTCAACTTGGAATGGTGTAGCCTGGCTGGCATGGTGCTAGCGAAATAGCTCTGGCATGATGTTGTTGTACCCCGCGTGTTGACTTTTGAGTCGACTCAAAAGTCAACTTGGAATGGTGTAGCCTGGCTGGCATGGTGCTAGCGAAATAGCTCTGGCATGATGTTGTTGTACCCCGCGTGTTGACTTTTGAGTCGACTCAAAAGTCAACTCGGAATGGTGTAGCCTGGCTGGCATGGTGCTTGCGAAATAGCTCTGGCATGATGTTGTTGTACCCCGCGTGTTGACTTTTGAGTCGACTCAAAAGTCAACTCGGAATGGTGTAGCCTGGCTGGCATGGTGCTTGCGAAATAGCTCTGGCATGATGTTGTTGTACCCCGCGTGTTGACTTTTGAGTCGACTCAAAAGTCAACTCGGAATGGTGTAGCCTGGCATGGTGCTAGTAGAACAGCTCTGGCATGATGTTGTTGTACCCCGCGTGTGCACACCAGGAAAGGGAGCTGGTACATGTGGTGTGTAGTTTGTTTTTGAGAATTCTCAAAAACAACGTGTAGATACAGTACAACACACGCCGGTGCCAGCCAGAGGCATTTCACTAGCACCATTCCTCATCCCCTTTCGCTCCCCCTTCCTCAACCCCCCCCCAACCTTCCCCTTCCCGCACACCAGGAGAGGGGGATTCCGCATGTGTTTCCAGAGCCATTTCACCAGCACCGTTCCTCATTCCCTCTCTCCCTCCCCTTCACCGCCCCCCTTTTGAGGCGCCTCAAAAGCCGCCCCCCTTTTGAGGCGCCTCCAGAGCCATTTCACCAGCACCGTTCCTCATTCCCTCTCTCCCTCCCCTTCACCGCCCCCCCCCCCCCCTCCCCCGCCCCGAACCTTCCCCTTCCCCTTCACACGTCAACCCAACTTGTGTGCACACCAGGAGAGGGAGATGGCACACGTGTTGCCAGAGCCGTTTCTTGGCCCCAAGGAAAAGGCCTTGGTGAAGATTGCCACCAAGGGAGGTGAGGGGACGGAATTGCTCTGAGGTAGTTAATAAATGGAAGGAATTAGAAGTTTTTTCCACATGTGCTGCCAGAGCCGTTTCTTGGCCCAAAGGAGAAGGCCTTGGTGAAGATTGCGACAAAAGGAGGTGAGTGAGAGGAGCATGGTGTATGTGAGAAAGTGTCTCACACAATCGCTTAGTCTTGAAGTTTTGGTTTGTTTGTTTGTTTGTTTGTTTGTTTTTTTTTTTCTAGTTCTCAAAACTTCAATTATTGTGCATCTCACTCTTAGAATTGCTAATGTTTACGACAATCTAACGTGCGCTGCCATCTCTGTTGCTTTGGAGCAAGTTGGCTTTTGAAAATTCTCAAACTCCAACTTGAAAATTTTCAAAACCAACTTGTCTCATATGCTAGCGTTTATGACCAATCACTTTTGTTTTGAGAATTCTCAAAAGTGTTTATGACCAATTTTATGCACCCTGCCATCTCTGTTGCTTTGGTTCATTCATGTTCCCCTCCCACTGTGCGATTCCTTCCTCTCTTGCCTTCTTTTCTGTTCTGTGCTCCTTCTGCCCATCCCATTCTGTTCCACCCCACCCCACCTGACGCCACCTGACGCCACCTGACGCCACCTGACGCCACCTGACGCCACCTGACGCCACCTGACGCCATTCCACCCGCCATTCCAACAGTTGTTCGACTCTTCAATGCGGTGCGTCCATTCGCTTGTCCCTATCCCATGTGCCCGTCCATCCCCTTCTGACTGTGCGCTTGTGACTTGTCCCTATCCCATGTGCCCCTCCATCCCCTTCTGACTGTGCGCTTGTGACTTGTCCCTATCCCATGTGCCCCTCCATCCCCTTCTGACTGTGCGCTTGTGACTTGTCCCTATCCCATGTGCCCCTCCATCCCCTTCTGACTGTGCGCTTGTGACTTGTCCCTATCCCATGTGCCCCTCCATCCCCTTCTGACTGTGCGCTTGTGACTTGTCCCTATCCCATGTGCCCGTCCATCCCCTTCTGACTGTGCGCTTGTGACTTGTCCCTATCCCATGTGCCCCTCCATCCCCTTCTGACTGTGCGCTTGTGACTTGTCCCTATCCCATGTGCCCCTCCATCCCCTTCTGACTGTGCGCTTGTGACTTGTCCCTATCCCATGTGCCCCTCCATCCCCTTCTGACTGTGCGCTTGTGACTTGTCCCTATCCCATGTGCCCCTCCATCCCCTTCTGACTGTGCGCTTGTGACTTGTCCCTATCCCATGTGCCCGTCCATCCCCTTCTGACTGTGCGCTTGTGACTTGTCCCTATCCCATGTGCCCCTCCATCCCCTTCTGACTGTGCGCTTGTGACTTGTCCCTATCCCATGTGCCCCTCCATCCCCTTCTGACTGTGCGCTTGTGACTTGTCCCTATCCCATGTGCCCCTCCATCCCCTTCTGACTGTGCGCTTGTGACTTGTCCCTATCCCATGTGCCCCTCCATCCCCTTCTGACTCTGCGCTTGTGACTTGTCCCTATCCCATGTGCCCGTCCATCCCCTTCTGACTGTGCGCTTGTGACTTGTCCCTATCCCATGTGCCCCTCCATCCCCTTCTGACTCTGCGCTTGTGACTTGTCCCTATCCCATGTGCCCGTCCATCCCCTTCTGACTCTGCGCTTGTGACTTGTCCCTATCCCATGTGCCCCTCCATCCCCTTCTGACTGTGCGCTTGTGACTTGTCCATGTCCCGTGCACTCCCCCATGCACACTCACTCACTTCTCAAACATTCACACGTACTTCTTCCCGCTCCCCACTCCACCTTCTACACATCCTCATCCCTCTCTCGCCACCCTTTACTTTCTGTGCCCTAACGTGAGACCTTTTTTTCCCTCTTCCATCCCCCCAGGTCAGCAAGGCCCAGAAGGTGCAAAAGCAAGCTTCCACCAAAGGTATTTTTTTCTAGTTTACTCAAAAATCGCTTTCACTCCCCCAAGTCAGCAAGGCCCAGAAGGTGCAGTTGTAAGCTTTCACCAAAGGTAACTTTGCCAGCTGACAACCTCATCATGCTGAAATCATGCTGAAACGTATGACACATGCATGACTGTCCTTTAGTGCATGTTTAATAAGAATAGCAAAAATACCAACATTTTTTAATACTTTTATTATTTTTTATGTTATCTCTGTTACTCTTTCCCGTTTGCTCCGCCCTTTTTTTAGATGCGGATAAGAAGACCAAGGCAGCTTTCCTGACGGAACTAAGAGGCTCAACGGCAACGATAGGTGCCGTTGGTGGGGCTGCGGCAAGGCTAGGAGGCAAGGTGAGCTCTTGACTTGTGTCCTTTCCCTCTGACCTTTCCTCACTGAACTAAAAGACTCAACGGCAACCCGTGGTATTGGTGGCATCGGTGGGGCTGCTGCAAGACAAGGAGGCAAGGTGAGCTCTTTTGACGTGGGCCTAAGAGAAGACTGAATACTGATGCGGCTTTTTCACTGAACTTAGAGGCTCAACGGCAACGATAGTTGCCGTTGGTGGGGCCGCTGCAAGGCTGTGTCCTTTTTCCTTCAACCCTTTTCACGCCTCATGCCTGCCTGTTGCCGGGGAGCACAGCAGGCAGTACCAATTCCTCATCCGCTTTTCTAACTCATGGAGTCCTCTCCATCCCCTTCGACTGTCCTAACTGGAAGCTCTTCTCTTTCCCTCCCCTTCTCTCAATCCTTCCTCCGTCTGTTGCCGGGGAGCACAGCTGTGCACAGCAGGCAGTACAGATTCCTCATCCGCTTTTCTAACTCATGCAGTCCTCTCTATCCTCTTTGATGGCCCGAATTGAGACGTCTCAAGAGTCCCAATGATTGCCCTAACTTGAAACTCTTCTTGTTCCCTCCTCTTCTCTCAATCCTTCCACAGGCTAAGCCAGAGGCTGTCATGTCAGCAGCAGCAGCGGCAGCAGAGGAGCCGACGTGGTCCCTATTGGCCGATAGCTTCCAGTTGGGGCAGTCGAATCTCAAGGGGTGGGACAAGGGCGACGAGGTGAGGAGGAGGGAAATGACAAGGAGAGTATCAGGGACCATTGCAGTGGTATAGAAGCTGAGATGGTGGGTATAGCAGCTTGTAGTCTTGGGCCGATAGCTTTCCAGCTGGGACAGACGAGGCTCAAGGGGTGGGACAAGGGCGACGAGGTGAGTGGGGGGGAACATTAGCCAGTTGAATAGTGGAGTGAAGAGTTGAGGCGAAGTGCTGGGCCATTGGGGAGCATGGTGAGGAGGAGGAAGAGGGTGGGGTACGGGATGGGGGAGGGGAGGATTGTGGTGATGATGCCTCATGGCCTATACCCCATACCCTATGCCCCATGCCTCATGCCCCATGCCCCATGCCCCATGCGTTTCCTCTCATTGCCTACTGCACTGCTGCGTCATCTTTCCCCTCTCTTGTCCCACCCACCACAGGCGCCCATGGCGTTTGACCCTGAGCGGATTGCTATCGAGGAGCTGGATGAAGAGGAGGATGAGGATGGGGTAGGATGGGGTGTTGACGTGGTGTTGACTTGGTATGTCCCATTCCCCATGCAACTTGCCCCATACCTCTCCTCCCACCACAGGCGCCCATGGCGTTTGACCCCGAGGGGATTGCTATTGGGGAGCTGGATGATGACGAGGATGGGGGAGGGCAGGATGATGGTGATGTGTCACATTCCCTGTGCCCCATGCATCATCCCCCATATCCCCTCTCCCTTAATCCCATACCAACAGGCGCCCATGGCGTTTGACCCTGAGGGCATTGCTATCGGGGAGCTGGATGATGAGGATGACGATGGGGGAGGGGAGGATGATGATGATGAGGAGGATGCTGTTGGTGATATGGAGGAGGAGGACGAGGAGGATAGTGATAGTGGTGATGATGAGTGATGGTAGGCCGATGATGAGGACGATGAGGAGGAGGATGCTGTGGGTGATATGGAGGAGGAAGAGGAGGACAGTGATGACATCTAGTGATGTTAGGGCGATGAGTTGAAGGATGGGGGAGGGGAGGATGAGGATTAAGATGACGAGGAGGATGTTTTTTTTAAACGTCTCAAAAGAGGATGAGGATGATGATGAATTTGACCAATATGACGAGGAGGATCATGACAGTACCATACGGTAAGGAAGATGCAGTTCAAATATACACAACAAAGTTCTCCTTTTAGGTTAAAAGTTATGATTTGTTTTTCCCAGGCCCAACTGTTAAAATTGTACAATGTACAATATCTGAGGAGGGTCCAACAATATGGTGGTTGATTTACAGATGTTTCCACAGAATAGTGCAGGGAAACTGTAAGAAAAGAATGCTCAACAGGAAAACACAGCTAAGCTTCTGCAGCACCGCCTCGCCTCTGCGGGAAAAAAAGTGTTTTTTTATCCTACTCAGAGCATAGTATTATCATCTGAACCAGCAATGCCACCTGCACCAGCAATGCCACCACATCAACCCGCTCCTGCTTGTGGCAGCAACACCAGCAGCACCTGTAACACTAGGTTACAGGCACCCTCCGCTCTATACGTTTGTCTTCATCCTTCTCAGCGCGACGTACCCCAGCCCGCGGTAAAACGCCAATTGCACCAGCAACGCCACCACATCCACCTATACGTGCTCGAAGCAGCAGTAGCAGCAGCGACAGCACCAGCGCCAGCGCCTGAAAGATTAGGAGTTACAACAAGTGCCCTGTGCTACACATTTGTCTTCATCCTTCTGAGAGCGAAATATCCGAGACCCCTGTAAAACGCCACTTGCACCAACAGCGCCACCACGTCAACCCATGCATCTCCCAGCGAGAACCCCCGGAACGACGGCGCGTCCGACATCGGACAAATAATCGCGCTCGGGTCACTCGGCGGGCCGCATTCAAAGGTATCGGAGGGCGAGAACTGGGTTTTGATGACGAGGCGGTAGGCGTAGTAGGTGAAGGAAATGTATTTGATCCACGCGATGAAGGCGGGGATGGTTTGCAGATAGTATCCTCCTGCCAGCATGAAGGTGAGGAGGAGCACCGAGGCCAGCGTGGTGGCGACTTTGACGTCCATCACTGCTGCTCCCAAACAGAGCCCGCAGCCCTGCGGTAAGGAAGAGGGTGACGGGGAAGGAGGAGAGGGTGAAATGAATCAGACGTGCATGCAGCAGAAAGGCGGGGATGGTTTGCAGGTAGTATCCTCCTGCGAGCATGAACGTGAGGAGGAGGACCGAGTCCAGGGTCGTGGCGACCTTCACGTCCATCACCGCTGCTCCCAAACAGAACCCGCAGCCCTGCGAGTGGTAGAGTAGAGGGGAAGGGGATCCATCAGGGGGGTGGGATGGTTTGCAGATAGTATCCTCCTGCCAGCATGAAGGTGAGGAGGAGCACCGAGGCGAGGGTCGTGGCGACTTTGACGTCCATCACCGCTGCTCCCAAGCAGAGCCCGCAGCCCTGTGTGTTGTAGGGGGAAACAGAATGAAGCAAAGGTATTGTGAGGCGTGTGTGGTGGCTAGAGGGGCGGTGGTGGCGACTTTCACGTCCATCATTGCTGCTCCCAAACAGAGCCCGCAGCCCTGTGTGTTGTAGGGGGAAACAGAATGAAGCAAAGGTATTGTGAGGCGTGTGTGGTGGCTAGAGGGGCGGTGGTGGCGACCTTCACGTCCATCACCGCTGCTCCCAAACAGAGCCCGCAGCCCTGTGGAGGGGATAGGGTAAGCGGACAGAAGGACAGGATGGAGGAAGAGCGTGGGGAGCAGCCACTCTATGGGGAGGCTCGAACAAGAGAAACAGAGCAAAGAGAGAGAGAGAGAGAGAGAGAGAGAGAGAGAGAGAGAGAGAGAGAGAGAGAGAGAGAGAGAGAGAGAGAGAGAGAGAGAGAGAGAGAGAGCGAGGAGTGTAACAAACCACCCACCTGAGCCGTGGTGACGATGAGGTAGGTTGAAAAGAGGAGTCCAAAGAACGCAGCAGCGGTGAGTTTGAGGTTCGCCATGAAGTAGCAGATGAGGAGGAAGAGCGTGGGGAGGGAGAGGGTAACAAGAGAGAGCGAGGAATGTAACAAACCACACACCTGAGCCGTGGTGACAATCAGATATGTTGAGAAGAGCAGGCCAAAGAATGCAGCAGCAGTGAGCTTGAGGAAAGCCATGAAGTAGCAGATGAGGAGGAAGAGCGTGGGGAGGGGAGCAGCACCGGACAAAGGGACAAGGGCACATGACAGGACCCACCTGAGCTGTAGTTACGATGAGGTAGGTTGAGAACAGCAGTCCAAAGAATGCCCCAGCAGTGAGCTTGAGGGAAGCCATGAAGTAGCAGATGAGGAGGAAGAGCGTGGGGAGGGGAGCCGCCACTCCATGGGGAGGTCAGAGAGCAGAGGGGCGAGAAACAGAGAGCACTGTACCAAAGCCCACGCATTCCCACCCACCTGAGCCGTGGTGACAATCAGATACGTTGAGAAGAGCAGTCCAAAGAACGCAGCAGCGGTGAGTTTGAGGTTCGCCATGAAGTAGCAGATGAGGAGGAAGAGTGTGGGGAGCAGCCACTCCATGGGGAGGTCTGACAGCTGGCGGCTGAGGTAGTAGGCTGATAGGCGGTACATGTCGCTCGCCCGCTCCTTGGCTAGGATGGAGCGCTCCTGCGGTGGAATGCGGTGGAAAGGGGTGGGGTGGGGTGGAGAAGATTGTGCTTTGGTTGAGTGTGGTGGAATGAGGTGGAACGAAGAGGAGCAGAGAGCTGGCGGCTGAGGTAGTAGGCTGATAGCAGGTACATGTCGCTCGCCCGCTCCTTTGCTAGGATGGCGCGCTCCTGGGGTACAATGCGGTGGAATGGGGTGGGAATGCGGTACAATGTGGTGGGAATGCGGTGGAATGGGGTGAGAGGAGGTGAGGAAGAGTGTGGGGAGCAGCCACTCCATGGGGAGGTCAGACAGCTGGCAGCTGAGGTAGTAGGCTGATAGCCGGTACATGTCGCTCGCCCGCTCCTTATCTAGTATGGCACGTTCCTACGGTCCAGTGCGGTGCAATGCGGTGGAGTGGGGTGGAGAAATGTGAGCTTTGGTTAAGTGCAAGAGAAGGCTGTTGCACCGAGCGGTATAGATATCATTGGGGGTACTGATTTTACATTCTAGGCGACGGACTCACTTAGAAAGTTGAGGGGGAAACTGACCTGGGGAAAGGTGAAAATGGCGGCGAAGAGAGGGAAGAAGCCCCAGAAGATGGAAATGAAGAACAGCAGGCCCACCTGGTAATGGTGAAGGGGAGTGGGAGCGCAAGGGGGATTGACAGCAAGGAATAAATCGAGGAGAAAAGGCAGACAAGCTGAAAAAAAGATGAAGATGAAAACGAGCAGTCACAGATCATCTGCATCTGAATTTCCACCTGATTCTGCACCTGAGTCTAGCCTGAGTTTTCACATAAACCTGCATCTAAATTTCCACCCGATCCTTCACCTTAATTTCCACACAACCCTAAATCTATATCTTCACCTGATCCTCCATTCAAATCCCCACGTTATCCAGCATCTGGCTTCTCACCTGGTCCTGAATCTCGGTGCCAGTGTTGCGCTCCGAGCCAAACCACAGCATTCCACATATGAAGCCCAACGCTGTCACCTGGGGGTGTGGATGAGAGGGAGGGTAAGAGGATAGCAAGGTGCATGGCAACCAACATGAGGAGGGGAGGGGGCCTGTGCCAGTGTTGCGCTCCGAGCCAAACCACAGCATTCCACATATGAAGCCCAACGCGGTCACCTGGGGCGATGGAGAGAAGGGGATGAGAGATGGAAAGGGGGTTGGGGGTGAGGAGAAATGAAAGAACGGGCGCGATATCAGCAAGGCGAAAGCAGCAAGGCGACCAGCTCAAGCACTTTCCCCTTTTTCCACAATCCACATACAGAAGCAACCACCCCTTCTTGCAACTCCCACCAAGCGGCCGATACCAACCGGTAGAACCAGTAGCCCTCGCGTCCACAGCACCGAGAACTGCAGCAGCCATGGCGCCGTCCACCCCGGCCGCTGCAGCAGCACCACCCAGGAACTCCATGGGTCGTGGCCGTTTCCGTTCCACACTCACCTGATAGAACCGCAATGGTGACAGCACTTCGTGCCGTCTCTCTTTCAGCCCGCATGTCCACAGCACCGAGAACTGCAGCAGCCACGGCGCCGTCCACCCCCGCCACCACCGTCCTTCTTATTCGCTCACACAGACCACCAGCCCAGCAACCACCTCCGTTCCTCAGCAACTGACCTGGTAGAACCTGAGCGGTGATAACACTTCATGGCGTCTCTCCTTGAGCCCGCGTGTCCACAGCACTGAGAACTGGAGCAGCCATGGCGCCGTCCACCCCCGCCGCTGCAGCACGCTCTTCTGGTCGGCATCTGAGCTGGCGGGCAGCCCCGCCAGCTCAGCGTGCACCAGCGGCTGCTGCTGCTCCCTGTGAGCCCGAGCCACGAACTGGGATAAACAGTGGGGATTGGGATAGCGGATAGAGTGGGGATGGACAGTGGGAGTGCAAATAGAATATGAGGAGGAGATCCGAGACATCTCAAAGTGTGCACTAGCGGCTGCTGCTGCTCCCTGTGAGCCCGAGCCACGAACTGAGATAAACAGTGGGATTGGAGAGTAGGAATGGGAATTAAGTTGGGATTGGAAATGGAGTGGGGATGGGAATGAGAGGGGACTACGAAACACGTTTGAGTTGACTCAAAAGTGCCCCAGCGGCTGCTGCTGCTCCCTGGGCTCGGGCCACGAACTGGGATTGACAGTGCGGATAAACAGCAGGAATGGGCACTCGGAGAGAGGATGGAGTGCGGATTGGGATTGGGGATGGAGTGGGAATCCGAATTAGGGTTGAAGTGGGGATCGGAGTGGGAGGGAATTACGGAACACTTTTGGGAAGGAATGAGTGAAAGTCCAATAACGTTCGGACTTGAGGCTTCCCGGGGGGAATGAAGACCCAACTCACCTCCTTCACGTCGTGTTGTTGCTCCGCCACGCTCTTCCCCTGCCACTCCTCGCTCTCCCCCAACACACCCTGCTGCTTCACAGCCCCCCTGGTCCCTGTCACCATTTGTATGGATGAAATGGAGTCAAGCTCACCTCCTTCACGTCGTGTTGTTGCTCCGCCACGCTCTTCCCCTGCCACTCCTCGCTCTCCCCCAACACACCCTGCTGCTTCACAGCCCCCCTGGTCCCTGTCACCATTTGTATGGATGAAATGGAGACAAGCTCACCTCCTTCACGTCGTGTTGTTGCTCCGGTACGCTCTTCCCCTGCCACTCCTCGCTCTCCCCCAACACACCCGGCAACCGCACATCCGCCGTCGTCCCCGTCGCCAAATCCAGCAGAAAATCCGCCGGGTTCGTCGCAAACAGCGGCTCAAACCCCAACCTTCCAAAATACCCCATCGCGTCCGCAGCCTGCCCGAAAAAAATCACGTTGCCCTCCGATAAGAGCAGCAGCTTATCGAACGCGTGGAACAGCCGGGAGGACGGCTGGTGAATGGTAGTAACAACGGTTCTGCCCGATTTAGCGAGGTTCTGGATGACTTGAATGATGCGGAGAGCGGTGGTAGAGTCGAGGCCGGAGGTGGGTTCATCGAGCAGCAGCATGGAGGGGTTGATGAGGATCTCGTGGCCGATGCTCACTCGCTTGCGCTCCCCCCCGGATATACCGCGTAGAAACGGACCCCCAATGACAGTGTTTCGACACCTGCGAGAGTGGAGGGGGTGGGGTGGACAAAGAAAAGAGCGATTTAGGGTGGTTCAAAGCGATTCAGAGCGGTTCAGGGTGATTAGGAGCGGTTCAGAGCGGTTCAGAGGCTCTAGGGTGGGTTCGTCGAGCAGCAGCATGGAGGGGTTGATGAGGATCTCGTGGCCGATGCTCACTCGCTTGCGCTCCCCCCCGGATACGCCGCGAAGGAACGGCCCTCCAATAACCGTGTTACGGCACCTGAAGGGGGATTAAAGAAATCAGGAGGTTAAAAACGGTTCAGAGCGGTTCACGGCGTTTACGAGCGACTCAGAGCAGTCCAGAGCGGTTCAGAGGCTTCAGCATGGGGAAGAGGTGGGTTTGTCGAGCAGCAGCATGGGAGGGGTTGATGAGAATCTCGTGGCCGATGCTCACTCGCTTGCGCTCGCCCCCTGATATACCACGCAAGAATGGCCCTCCTATCACTGTATTGCGACACCTGAGGGGGTGGGCGGGGGGGGGGGGGGGGGGGGGGGAGGGGGGGGGTTGGGGTGGGGAGATTTAGAAGGAAAAGAGTGATTCACAACGGTTTAGAGCAGTTCAGGGCGATCCAGAGCGGTTCAAAGCGGTTCAGAGGCTCAGTGGAGCAGCACAGCGGTACAGCAACACACTGGCATTTGCATGCGCCTCACCGCAACAAAACACACTTCTTACCCAAACCCCCCACATCCCCCTCAACATACCCCCTGGTCACTCACTTATCAAGGCCCAGCTCTGTGATGGTCTCATCGGCGCGCTGCACCTTCTCCGCCCAGCACCACAAAACACACAACGTATTACCCAATCCCCCATCACCGCTTGCCTTCCCCCTCTTCACTCACTTGTCCAGCCCCCACTCAGTGATGGTCTCATCGGCGCGCTGCACCTTCTCCGCCCAGCACCACAAAACACACAACGTATTACCCAATCCCCCATCACCGCTTGCCTTCCCCCTCTTCACTCACTTGTCCAGCCCCCACTCAGTGATGGTCTCATCGGCGCGCTGCACCTTCTCCGCCCAGCACCACAAAACACACAACGTATTACCCAATCCCCCATCACCGCTTGCCTTCCCCCTCTTCACTCACTTGTCCAGCCCCCACTCAGTGATGGTCTCATCGGCGCGCTGCACCTTCTCCGCCCAGCACCACAAAACACACAACGTATTACCCAATCCCCCATCACCGCTTGCCTTCCCCCTCTTCACTCACTTGTCCAGCCCCCACTCAGTGATGGTCTCATCGGCGCGCTGCACCTTCTCCGCCCAGCACCACAAAACACACAACGTATTACCCAATCCCCCATCACCGCTTGCCTTCCCCCTCTTCACTCACTTGTCCAGCCCCCACTCAGTGATGGTCTCATCGGCGCGCTGCACCTTCTCCGCCCAGCACCACAAAACACACAACGTATTACCCAATCCCCCATCACCGCTTGCCTTCCCCCTCTTCACTCACTTGTCCAGCCCCCACTCAGTGATGGTCTCATCGGCGCGCTGCACCTTCTCCGCCCAGCACCACAAAACACACAACGTATTACCCAATCCCCCATCACCGCTTGCCTTCCCCCTCTTCACTCACTTGTCCAGCCCCCACTCAGTGATGGTCTCATCGGCGCGCTGCACCTTCTCCGCCCAGCACCACAAAACACACAACGTATTACCCAATCCCCCATCACCGCTTGCCTTCCCCCTCTTCACTCACTTGTCCAGCCCCCACTCAGTGATGGTCTCATCGGCGCGCTGCACCTTCTCCGCCCAGCACCACAAAACACACAACGTATTACCCAATCCCCCATCACCGCTTGCCTTCCCCCTCTTCACTCACTTGTCCAGCCCCCACTCAGTGATGGTCTCATCGGCGCGCTGCACCTTCTCCGCCCAGCACCACAAAACACACAACGTATTACCCAATCCCCCATCACCGCTTGCCTTCCCCCTCTTCACTCACTTGTCCAGCCCCCACTCAGTGATGGTCTCATCGGCGCGCTGCACCTTCTCCGCCCAGCACCACAAAACACACAACGTATTACCCAATCCCCCATCACCGCTTGCCTTCCCCCTCTTCACTCACTTGTCCAGCCCCCACTCAGTGATGGTCTCATCGGCGCGCTGCACCTTCTCCGCCCAGCACCACAAAACACACAACGTATTACCCAATCCCCCATCACCGCTTGCCTTCCCCCTCTTCACTCACTTGTCCAGCCCCCACTCAGTGATGGTCTCATCGGCGCGCTGCACCTTCTCCGCCCAGCACCACAAAACACACAACGTATTACCCAATCCCCCATCACCGCTTGCCTTCCCCCTCTTCACTCACTTGTCCAGCCCCCACTCAGTGATGGTCTCATCGGCGCGCTGCACCTTCTCCGCCCAGCACCACAAAACACACAACGTATTACCCAATCCCCCATCACCGCTTGCCTTCCCCCTCTTCACTCACTTGTCCAGCCCCCACTCAGTGATGGTCTCATCGGCGCGTTGCACCTTCTCCGCCCAGCCCAGCTCCTTGGGCAGGCGCAGCACGGCAGCACATTGGCACGGAAGCACAGCAGCACGGAAGCACAGCAGCACAGGAACACACTGGGATATGCATGTGCCTGACTGATTGGTCACTCACTTGTCAAGCCCCAGCTCAGTAATGGTCTCGTCTGCTCGCTGCACCTTCTCCGCCCAGCTCAGCTCCTTGGGAAGACGCAGCACAGCAGCGTACATGAGAGTCTCGCGCACCGTCAAGTGTGGGAAGAATATATCGTCCTGAGTCACGAAGCCCAGCCTGGGGGAAGGGAGTAGAAGGGCGAGACAGGAGGAAGAAACGGGGGAAGGAATAGAGACAGTGAGACAGAGGGAGTGGGAGGTCAGCTCCTTGGGCAAGCGCAGCACAGCGGCGTACACGAGGGTCTCGCGGACCGTGAGGTGTGGGAAGAAGATATCGTCCTTGAGTCACGAAGCCCAGCCTGAGAGAGGGGTGCGGGACGAGAGGCAGAGGGGGAGCAGAGGACAGGAGAGGCAGAGGGGGGAACCAGGGCGGAAAAGAGGGAGGTCAGCTCCCTGGGGAGCCGCAGCACAGCAGCGCACACGAGGGTCTCACGGACGGTGAGGTGTGGACAGAAGATATCGTCCTGAGTCACGAATTCCAGCTGGAGAGTAGGGGAGGACACAGGGAGTAGGTAACCTGAACAATGCTCCACAAGCGAGTTTTTGTTTCCCTGCCATGCTCTCCTGCTCAACCCCGCCCGCCCCCCCCCCCCCCCCCCTTCCACTCCCCCTCCCTCCAGCACGTTCAGAAACTTCACCCCCTCCCTCTCCACCCCCTCACACATCCCCCTTCCGCACTCACTTTCGCTTGAGCGCCTTGCTGTAAGGCAGGTCGTTATACGTCAACGTGCCCGCCATGTTCCCCTGCTTGAACCGCCCCCCCAGCACGTTCAGAAACGTCGTCTTGCCTCCCCCAGACGGCCCCATCATCGCCAGCACCTCCCCCGGCGCCACACTCCCGCTTATCCCGTGCAGAATCTCCTTCTCCCGCACCTCCGCTCCCGCTTTCCCCCCCGCCCCCGCTTCCGCGCTTCCCCCGACGCCTCCCCCAGCGCCTCCCGCCGCGCCCCCCCCGCCCGCGGTTCCCCCCCGCTTGGGGGCGAGGAGCGCGGGGAGGGTGGGGAGCGTGGGGAGGCAGGAGTGGCGCGGGTCCCAGGAACCCGCTTTGGCGGTTTGCACCTTGTAGCGCACGTCCTTGAACTGAAAGAGAAAGGCGGGGGGTTGGGGGGGAAAGGGAGGGGAACTGCGGAGGGGAACAGGAGTGGCGCGGATCCCAGGAGCCCGCCTTGGCGGCTTGTACCTTGTAGCGCACGTCCTTGAACTGAGAGGTGGAAGCAAAAGGGGGGCGGGGGAGGGGACGGGGAAGGGGAGGGGGAAACATGTGTGGCGGGGGAACAAGGGGAAAGGAACAGGAGTGGTGCGGATCCAAGGAGCCGGTGTATCGAATCTCACTTTGATTGTGCTTGTATCGAGCCTCACCTTGACTGTGATTGTATCGGTGATGTTCTTCTTGTTGTATCCGCTCATCGCGTGGCTCGTATCCAACTGTCCTTGTATCGAATCTCACTGTATTTGTGCTTGCATCGAGTCTCACCTTGACTGTGATTGTATCGGTGATGTTCTTCTTGTTGTATCCGCTCATCGTGTGGCACTTATCCATCACCTTGCTCTTGCGTTGATACACCCCCCCCACTCCTCTCCCTCCTCCTCCTCCCCCTCCCCCTCCTCCCTCACTCCCACACTCTTCCTCCTCTCCCGCCTCTCCCCCCTCATCGCCGCCTCCTCCCCTCCTACTCTCCCTCGCGGGATGTTTCCCGGAAGTTTCAGCTCCATTGGTCGACAGTCCGATACCGTTAACGCTACCGTCAACGTCAACCACGACGTGAGAATCTCCGCTTAGCATTCGACTGTCTTCGTGACTCTCCGCGTGGCCGTTAGCTTGGCCGTTCAGGTGATTGGCTGCCAGAGCAGAAAATCAGGTTCGGGACAGCCATGGGGATGCGGAGGAGACGGAAGGCACAAAAAGAGTGGGCGTTAGAAGAGGAAGGTGAGGTAAGACGAGAAACGGCGAGGAGCGTCGTGGACGACTGAAAACGGCTCGGGTCTCTATTATTACTTTTGTTCCGCTTTCAAAATATCAGGATCGACATTCCATCGGGATCATTCGAGATTTAAAAGATGTACAGACCACATAAGCACAAACTTTATATCGTTCTCCTTCGTTCTCCAACCGTTACCTTCGAACGGACAGTCTGGATGCAGCCTCTCGGCCTCCTCGCTCCCGCGATCCCCCGGTTGCTCCTGACGAGCCATGGCGGACTGTACTAGTCGAGCCTGGATAAGAACCGGTGCTCGACGGCGTAAGCGACGGTAACTAAGAAGGTCAAGAAGTTCTCAACCTGGTGTGTACTACGCGTGCTACAGCGGGTTCGTGCTAGGTGTGTCTGAGAGCCGGTGCGCGCTACAGCCGCCTGTCCTTGAAACGTTGGAATCAACGGGAGTAGCGATCGCTAACCCGCAACCGAAGTGTGTGGCCGTAGGGAAGCAACTTCGCAGCAGACACGGCAAGAAACGAACTGCGAGTGGGAACAACTTAATCCTATCTTCGAGTAACTACTCGTAACTGCGACCGCGAAAAACTATTCCTCGCGACAAGTTGAAGTGACGGTAATTTCACTTCTTCTCCGCAACTAAAGACGTGTGCGAGGTGCAGCGACAGCTACTTGAAACAGTCGAGCTTACTGTACAGCGACAGCAACTCACACCTACGCTCCAGTGTTCGATCGCCGCTGACTAATTTCAAGCTAGATGGTGGTGGTCCTTATATGCTGGAGTCGGCTTGGCTTATATGCCACCACCACCACCCCATAGCCTCGTCCTCCGTACCTCCCTTCCCGTACCACAGCCACCGCTACTACCACGCGCGAAGTTCCCAATAGATCCAGACTCGTACAGTGGATTATTTTGTTTGCAGTGGGTGAGATTTATGGCCGAGATGCGTTGCTCCTGCATTTTGGAGGGCACCTGTCATCTCGGACCATCCGATCTCTTGCCATGGGTGTCACATCCCACCACCACCATCCATCTCCCATGTAAAAGCTAGGTTCGGAATTCGGTTAGGTACGGAACATGGTTACGTGGCGGCTTGTCACACCACACCACGCAGGTCAAGAGGAGGCGTAACCCCCAAAATTGACGTGTCTGTGTGAGCCCAGAGCTGTGCGCGAAGGGCTTTGTACGATTGATCGACGGAATTTGCCACCTCGAAAATGTCAGCACTGCGGCACCTCGGGGAAGCTTCGTTAATTAATTTCTGCGAGCCTGCTGACGGAAGCACATATGCGTACAGTAATTGCAGGGAGAAACGTCTAGCCGTTGAGTGAGTGCTTCTACATGTCACAAGAGAATCATTATGCTAAAAAATACCAATTGCACTCAAAATTCCACATCGATTTATCTATCATATACACAGTTGAGTGAACAAAACATAAAAACATGACACTCGAAACCCTTAATCACCCTCTGCCTGCAGATTCCCGCTCTGTAGGCTGTGTTCGTGCTCTACCAAACACCCTATCCCCAACGTCGCCACCACCACTGCCATTGCAGTTGCCACTACCGCTACTGCCACCACGCAAATGCCTGCCAGACCCCACCCCCCCTCCACCCAACTTCCCTTCCCCAATGCCTGCCTGTCCTCTCCTTGCACACGCAGCCGCTTTCACAGCAGCAGCAGCTGCCGCGGCAGCAGATGAGCTAGAATTCAAACTACGCGACATTGCAAATGCACGAGTAGCAGCAGCAGATGCGCCATGGGAACTGGCAGCAGCAAATGGACCACCACCACTGCCACCACCAGCACCACCACTGCCACTGCCAGGCTGGCGGGCGGCAGGATGCGTCATGTTCAGCTGCCGATCCTCGCTCACGGAATGGCGGCGGTTCGGCCGAGCCAGAGCTGACGGCATGGAACGAGACGGGATGTGCAGCGAGCGCCGGCGGTTGTTCCGAGGAGGCGTGAGCGGCGGGGAGCGAGGGGAGGAGGCAGAGGAGGAGCCGAGGGGGGAAAGCGGTGGGGAGCGAGGAGGGGATTCGAAGGCAGGGCCAGGGGCGGATGAGTAGAGCTGGGAGGCGGGTCGTGCAGGAGTGATGTTGGAGTGAGACAGGGAGAAGGACGACGGGTGGTTTGGTTGGGATGCGGTGCGAGAACGGGGGGAGGGGGAGCGAGAGGCAGGTGAGGGGGAGCGGAGGAGGGGAGGGGGAGGGGGAGAGGAGGGGCGGGGAGCGCGGGGAGCAGGGGAGGGATCGCGGGAATATGTGTGGTGAGGGGGGCCGTGGGGGGAGTTGGCGGGGGAAGGGGAGAGGGGGACTGGGGAGCGGGGGGGGCACGGGTGGAAGGGGGAGATGGGATTTGGAGACTGGGGGCTCGTCTGCATGCTCCTCATAGCAGCAAGAATGTCAAACAGATCCTCGTCATCCTCATCCTCATCACAAGCTTCCCCGTTATAAGCACCGGCAAATGGATCCACAAGTACTGTAGATACTTTTCCCCGTACAGTCGCGGCCGCCCCAGAAATCGCCCCAGATATTGACGGCAGGCCCACCATCCGCGCCTGATCCCCCCCCTGCATTGCCTTGTCTGACGCGGAGCGCCCCAGAGACCTCCCCTCCGCGGAACCCCCTCCGCCGCTTCCCCCCATCATCCCCCCCGCGGCTTCTCCCGCTGCTCCGCCGCCATATGCGCCAGTTGCGCTGAAGTCGACGGATAGCCGCGAGGCGGGCTGGTAGCGCGCGGAAGCGGAGCGCCTGACCGCGCCGAGTTGTGATTGCGCCGCCTCCGCGGCTTCCTGCGCCGTTGCCCCTGCGCGCCTCCCCGCGTGCTCCTTGCCTGACACCGACCGCCCAAGTACCCCGCGCTTAGAAAGCCCGCTCCGGCCCCCCTTTCCGCTTCCGCCCGTTCCGCTTCCCCCGCCCGACGCTACACACGGGCTTGCGTGTCCCGAACCGGAACCCGAACCTGCTTCGCTTGCTTCGTCACTCTGCGCCGCTAGATCCAGCAACATCTTCTGAACGTACAGCTGCCGAGCCGACGAGGTTCGGGACAGGCCTGGTGCGCCTGCGTCTGCCAAGGCTCCGCCCGCGCCACTTGCGCCCGTACCCTCATGCGCCTGCGCAAGCAGCGCCCTTTTCGCCAACCCGGGGAGCTCCGGAAGAGCGCTCCGCTCATGGGGAAACGAGGGGGAGCCCCGCGATGCGCCGCCCGCAGCCGCCGAGCTTGCCCTGCCCATGGCGGAGAGCGGCAGCGCGGCGGCGCCCGCGCGGGCCCGCGGGGAATCCGCGGGAGAAAGAAGCGCGGAGTGCCGCTCCGAGAAACTAACGGTCCTACTACCGCCGCTGCCCTTTTCCCTGCTCCTACTGCTGCCGCCGCCGTTACCGCTGCCGCTGCCGCTCCCGCTGCCACTGCTTTCAATAGTGGGGAGGCCTTTAGTGCAGGGGACCAGCTCCTCTAAATGCGGCGCGCTCTGCGGCGGATCTTGCGCCCGCTGAAACTCAAGCGACGCCCACGAGCGCCCGCGGACGAGCGAGCGGGGGCCTCCGCCGGTAGTGGCGGCGTGCGGTAACATCCGGTGAGACTGCGAACCGAACCCGAATAGCTTTCGCGCACCCGCGGATACCACTCCGCCAGCCGGAGTGTCCGCGTGCCCCCCTTTGCCTCTAGATCTAGCTTGCGCGGCGCTCGGCTGCTGCGCCTGAGATCCCGCGGACGAGCCTCCCCCATTTCCCCCTGCCGCGCGCGCCCCGTGTGCGGCGGCGGCGGCGGCGCTTCCGGCTTGCTTGCCGCCCGACTCGTGGCCTAACCCCCGCGCAAGGTCCGACCCATTGAGCCCACTGCAACTGCTTCCGCTACTGCTGACTCCGCTGCCGCCGCCGCCGCTGCCGCCGCCAAATCCGCCGCCTATTGCGGTCCGTAGCTGCTGCGCTTGCTGCAGCTGTTTCTTCAGGTGGAGCTTCTGCTGCTCCAGGTTCTGATGCGCAATAACCGCCGCAAAAGGCGCCGCAAAAGCCGCTGGCTTACCACCCCCGGATGGCGCCGTGAAGGACCGTTGCGGAACGTCCGCCGCTTCCTGTGCCCTTACCCGCGCATGCGCGTCCCTTGCGCCGCTCGCTCCGCTGCTCGCTCCGCCTTTGCGCAACAACGTTTCTTGCGACTTTGCCAGCGCCTGCGCCCTCGCCGCTTGCGCGCGCACCGGCGCTTGACGCTGCTCCCCCCGCCCCTCCAAACAGCTCGCGCTCTTCTGCAGCGCGCGGACGACGGGCCCGCGGAAGGCGGAACCCGCGGAAGCCGCGGAAGGGGGGGAAGATACGGGGGACTCCGCAGTGGGGGAACCAGTAATGTGGCAATAAGCGGCTAGAAACTCCTCGTCCGACGAATCTAAATCTTCTCGAAAGCTATCCGCCTTTCGGGACGCCGCAAGCGCAGCAGCTAGCGCAGCGGAGGAGGAACGCGGGGAAATGGACGGGGAATCGGGGGAGAGGGAGGAAGTGCGGAGTGCCTGCGCGGATAGATTACTGCGCGGAGAGCGGGAAGGGAAGGCTTTCTGTTGGCGGTCGCTGGGACTGGGGGAAGAACAGGCGCCTTGGCGGAGAGTTGGCGGAAGCGCCGGGAAGCCTTTCTTGTTCGTCAGCGCGACTCTTTCTAGCGAAGATTTCGGCACGGTTACCAGCAGCGGCGGCACTTCGGAATGGCTTCGCCGGCGCTGTTGCAACGGCACGGGCGACGAATGGGCGGAGCAGTCCCGGTTCGCGGAACCAGAAACGGAAACGGCGCCGGTAACTGAGACGGACACAGTTTCCGAGACTGGGTTCCGGCCAGATCTAACGACGTCGAAGGACCTACGGCTAGCTGATCGACGGTCCACCTGCTTCGACCTGCCCTCTGTGCATGCTTGCGCTAACCAGTTAATCTCACCCCTGCTGCTTCCTTCCCGGCTGCTATTTTCCTGAGAGCCGCCGTCCCTGTAACTAGCCGTTTTCCGGCAAGCTTGACGGTCGTTATTAATGCTTTGCTCCCACTGCTGACAGCTCTCTAAGCCGCCGCGACTCGGATCTTTCTGCGCCGAGGCGATGAGTTGCGGCGGCGCTTGCCCGAGCGTCTGCGAATTTCGCCGACTGTGGTAACCGTCGTCGTGTGTCCGCGCGTGCGACAACTGAACGTGCTGCTGTTTCTGCTGGTGTAGCACCTGCTTTAGCTGCTGCCGGAGGCGCGAACTAATCACCTCCCAAGGCACGTCCTCCTCGTCGTCTTCCTCCTCACGCTCACCTCCAGTTTTCCCGTCATTTCCGGAATAACCGTAATCTACGTCATCCCCGTAACCTCCGTTATCCCCGTCCTCTCCGTCCTCGTCGCCAAAAATAGCCGCCCATTCCTGTTCCAACCCCTGCGGTCCGAGCAACGACGGCCGCTCCCGGAGGCCGCCTGCCGGCCGGCAAGCGGCGGCTTTGAGCGCTTCGGATCCGCAGCGCGACGGAGACGAGCCGAGCGACGCGGAGAAGCAGTCTGGGGGAGAGAGACGGGTTGCGAGACAGACGGAGGGATCTGCGAACGGATGGCTCGGCGCGTAATGGTCAGAGGGATGCATCGTGTCTGGAGGGGAGGGTCGCGCGGCAACGCCCACGTTCATCTTGATTAGCAAGGTATTAAGTATTTTCTATTTCTCTTTTTTTCTTCAAGGTACTAGTAACATTCGAATAAGAGGACACAGTTCTATGTCTGGAAATTCAACCCATGTGGCATGGAGCTGAAGTGAACTTGTTTGAGGTGAGTCATGCCAAACGATATGCTACGAACCAGAGTAGCGCAAGAGCATGAGCCACGAACAACTTGCTGCTGGATGTTAGTTGTTGACCTGGAAACCGACCGTGTGAGAGAGAGAATGTAAGTGGGCATCAGAGAGAGGGGAGAACCGCCATGAAAGGACGGCGAGGGAAGACCTCGCGGGGAAAGACCGAGGGGAGGGGATGGGTGGGCTCTATTTTCGTTTTTCTCTACCCCCTCATTTTGTGGGTGACGTTCAAACGCACCCTGCGGCCTAGAAACAGCTCGATTCCAGCAGGGGAACACATAATCTGAATTGTAGAGCCCTCAGCAGAAGAGAAAGGAGTGGAGGGGAGGGAGGGTTTGGGAAGAGGAGGGAAGTAGAGAGGGGGGAGAGGGGAGGAAACAAGGAACCGATGGAAGCGAACCGCCATGACCCCCGGACCATGGAAATCGGATGGGGAAACACGGAGGTTTCTTTTGAGATGAGGAGGAATACAGTACAGGACACAAACATCATCTTGGGGGATGTGTATCACACTGATTCACATCCTACAAAATAACCGATGGAAGCCTTGGGATTTCCGCGCGCTATGCCCTGGACCCCTGGTTCTGGTTTCCATCCCAAGTTCTGGCGCCAACTCGTGGCAGTCGATCTTTTTCCTGACGTGCGCGCCATTGGGCGGTACTGCACCAGGCAGAAGAGTTTCAGCAAATCCCTGATTTCCTTGTAAGGTGAGGTTAGGGGGAGCCAGGTTTGGAACGGACGCGTGGGCTGTTTCGGCATTCAGCTGCGAGCTGAAACGGAGCGCGGGCAAGAAAATTCGAGCAGCAAACCACAAGAAAATGCTGCCGTAAAACTTGGATTGGATTGGAACTTCCGAAATGTTTCTGGACAGGGGAATCACAGCCGGCCGAATCTCGACCCCTGCATGTTGGTCGAAGGAGCTCAAGTGGAAGTTCAAATGTGATCTGGCGGGGCGGGTGATGGGCGGTTTTCCGAGGAAGTTTGAAGGCAGAAATTTGGGTTGGGGCAGTTGATTTGAAGGTGGCGCGTTTCCTGCTGAAGCTGGCCGTTCGTTTGGTCGGGGGATTTCGGGCACGCTTTCAAGGTTACCCAGCCGACCAACTGTAACGTTTTCCGGCACAGTGTCACCATTGTCTTGGCTTGGAACCAGGGCTCAGGCTATCAGGGTAAATGCTCGTTCTTGACTGAAAATCCAAGGTATTTTCCAGCCCAACTCGGATTTTTACAGGGGAGTTTTTATGCCAGCCCTGACTGAATCCGAGCACTTCCAGGACTGACTCTGATGAATCCGAGTACTCCTTCGAAGGACTCGAAACTTTTTCTAAGGCTCTAACCTTCCCAACCTCGCCCCCTCCCCGCTTCCTGGACTTGTGAATGCTTCCCTCCCGCCTCTCTGTTCCTTAGTCAAATTCGGAGGCATTTTAACACTTCTGCTCTCTGTGAGCAGAGGTCCACATGAAAGCAGCACAAGTGCACCAACACAGAGTTTCAAAATCACATTTAGTCAGAAAGAAGTCTCCACCATTGCCGCGGAACAATCGAATTACGTAACGAGGAAATTTTAGGCCAACCCTGATTTCTCCAAGCGGTTTTTTGGCTGGCCCTGCGTTTTCAGGGCATTTTTCGAAGGGAGCCTAAAACGTCAGAGTTGGCGAAAAGCCAGCCTAAAACGTCAGAGTTGGCGAAAAGCCTAACTTTAGCCCTGCTTGGAACTTGAAAGCAGGAAGCGGTGGAGTAATTGCAAGTTAATGATTCGAGTGGTGTTTGCGCCCCTTGTACGGCGCAACTTGACGAACGTGGAAAATCCGGTCATGATCGAAGGTTGTGTTGTGTCCTTCCTTTACCTTGGGTTGTTGCTTGTTGGTCGAGTTTTGTTTTTCTCTCGTGCAGATTGATATATTCTGTGAGATGCATGGGTATACAGTTGCACTATCACTTACATTTGTACCACAACGCGAAGGCTTTATTCAACAATCACTAATGTGAAACTTTACAGATCTGCCCCGCTATGGTTGCTGGAGGTGTGCCATGTACAGTGCCCTTGGTTGTAAAAATGTGCTGCAGGCAGTCATCGTGCGTTGATGGCCACGTGAACTGACCAACCAACGCCTTCCTTTCCGCCAGCACCGATCGACGCATGAGGAGACAAGACAAGATGCATGCACACATAACGAGTTTCCCCATGAGGTGTACGACAACCAAGAAATCTTGATATGATTCACAACATGGGCCAGCGCGGACGAGGTTGGGTGTGTCGTGTGGTGTGGGTAGAGCAGCAGCCCGCATGAGTTGGAACTGCCGGGCTTACACGCTTCTTGCATGGATGGGCTTGATGCCCAAATCAGGGGCAGCCCCACGAGCAACATGCAGTGTATACACCTAGTACTGTAATGGTTTTGGGAACAGTATCTTTCCAGATAAAAACAAACTCATGTGGTGTCATAACCTCAACTTAGTTCTTACTTTTGCCTTAGGTGTTTCTCCAAACTCTGGAATCTCAGCTTGGTTGCCACTCATTCATCAGTGGTTGTACGAGAGGACCGGGTTGAATTAAATCACACATGCAGCAAACAATGAGCAGGCTGCTCATGCTCCAATAAGCACTGGTACCGTATGATTGCAGCAAAACAAAACAAGAATCATCAAAACAAAACAAAACAAAACACTCATCCCCGAGCCTTGAAGGCAAAGCGAATGGGGGGAGGAGATATAGCTGCTCTGTGATGGAAGCACATACACTGGGACTGGAGTTTGCACCACCCTGTGAAAGGAAGGATGATCAGAAAACAGCACACACACACACACACACACACACACACACACACACACACACACACACACACACACACACACACACACACACACACACACACACACACACACACACACACACACACACACACACACACACACACACACACACACACACACACACACACACACACACACACACACACACACACACACACACACACACACACACACACACACACACACACACACACACACACACACACACACACACACACACACACACACACACACACACACACACACACACACACACACACACACACACACACACACACACACACACACACACACACACACACACACACACACACACACACACACACACACACACACACACACACACACACACACACACACACACACACACACACACACACACACACACACACCATATGATGAGATAGCAAGAAAAACGCACACGGGACCACTGGAGAAACTGCTCTGGTTGAATGCAAGGGAAACCTGTTAGATTACAGCTCTTGACACTCTGGTACACCTGTTTTTACCCAACACGATCTTCTGGGTCACCCTTATCTCGTGACACCAATCAATCTCGTGCAAAAAGTTTCCTTGTTGTGGTGTAAATTGATCCCTAGTATGTTTGTCTGACACCAATCAATCTCATGCAACTATTCCCATTACACTGACTGACCTGTTCTGGTGCAAACTGTTCCCACTAAACCCACCTGTATTTACAGAATATGTTTGTCTGACACCAACCTATCTTCATGCAACTGTTCCCGTTACACCGATCAGTTCTCATGCAAACTGTTCCCGTTACACCGATCAGTTCTCATGCAAACTGTTCCCGTTACACCGATCAGTTCTCATGCAAACTGTTCCCGTTACACCGATCAGTTCTCATGCAAACTGTTCCCATTACACCCATCTGTTCCATGCAACATGTTCCCGTCACACCAACTGCTCTCATGATAAATGGTCCAATGACACAGACGTGTCCTCATAAATCCGTTCGAGTAACACACACCTGTTCTTACGCAAACTGTTCCCATGACACCAACTGTTCTCGAAATAAGTGCTCCCATAACACAGACGTGTCCTCCTAAATCCGTTCCAGTAACACCCACCTGTTCTCCTGCAACACGTTCCCGTGACACCAACTGTTCTTGAGATAAGTGCTCCCATAACACAGACGTGTCCTCCTAAATCCGTTCCAGTAACACCCACCTGTTCTCCTGCAACACGTTCCCGTGACACGAACTGTTCTCGTGATAAGTGCTCCCATAACACACACGTGTTTCATGCAATCTGTTCCAGTGACACTCACCTGCTCGTATGATATATGTTCCCATGGTACAAACATGTCTCAGCAAGATGTTCCCAAACCAATGACATGTCCTCATGCAAACAGTTTATTCCTGTGACACCCAGCAAACCAGCCAATCTTGTGACACAAAAGGTGGGGTGACGGGCGGACCTGTTCACACCCTCAGACATCTAAATGGCTTTTGAGGCGCCTCAAAAGTCACCCAGCCAATCAGCCAATCGGCCAATCTCGTGACACAAAAGGTGGGGCGAAGGGTGTCCCTGTTCACACCCTCAGACATCTAAATGGCTTTTGAGGCGCCTCATAAGTCACCCAGCCAATCGGCCAATCAGCCAATCTCGTGACACAAAAGGTGGAGTGAAGGACGTACCTGTTCGCATCCTCGGAAAGCTGAATGGGCAGGAAGTCCCCCCGTTCTTGTGACACCAACGAGAGATTTGGGAGTCGGACCTATCTCATGACACAAAAGGTGGGGTGAAGGGCGTACCTGTTCACATCCTCAGACAGCTGGATGGGAATGAAGGATTCTCCTGGAAGGTTCACAGCTGCCCAGATGGTGAAGAACATACCAGCAGCGATTTCCATAAAAACCTGAAAAGGAGAGGCGGAGGGGGGGGAAGGGGGTCTGCTTTTGAGTCGAATCAAAAGCAGCTGGATGGGCTGGAAGGAGTCTCCTGGAAGGTTCACAGCAGCCCAGATGGTGAAGAACATATCAGCAGCGATTTCCATAAAAACCTGAAAAGGAGAGGCGGAGGGGGGGGGAGGGGGTCTGCTTTTGAGTCGACTCAAAGCAGCTGAATGGGCAAGAAGGAGTCTCCTGGAAGGTTCACAGCCGCCCAGGTGGTAAAGAACATACCAGTTGCGATTTCCATAAAAAACCTTGAAATCAAAGGAGGGGGTCCAGTGGGGTTGGATCAGGAGGGGAAAAGGTGGAGGGAAACAGAGGGAAAGACGGGGTTTGGAGAATTAGCCGAAAAGGAGAATGTGTAGTACAGGATGGGAAGGAAAAAGAGAATTGAATGCAAAAAGAGGGACTGGTTGAGGCAGTGTGATGGACGCAGGAGAAAGAAAGGCAAGATTTAGCAATGAGACGTGTGGAGATGAGGGCTGAGGAGGAGCGAGCGCAGTGGAGAAGGGGAGGCAATATATGAAAGACGTGAGAAAGAAAATGGCGGGGGATGGGTGGAGTCGGGAGGGTGAGGGCGAGGGAAAAGAGGGGGGGAGGACGGGGGGGGGGCAGAGGAGGGGGAAGGGTGCAAGAAAAAACCAATAATGGAGGGATAAAACAGTTGTAAACGGACAATACTTGTGAGCTAGATTCTAACACCCACTGACTTGAACGCTGGCCATGGCACGATGACAAGAACGGGCGGCAGAAGCTGACCTGAGCAGAGGGGACACTGGCATGCGTGGGTGGCACACTGACCTGTGTGGGCGGCAGGATGAACGGCTCATCAAGGTCCTTCAGTCCTTCCCTGTCTGCATTGAAATCACAACCGTTCAGAAAAAAATCAGCACAATTCAACCCAGTCGATAGAGAATCCATTTGGTGAGAATAAGTCAGATGTATGTCAGTCAAATGAGATTCAGTCCTGTGAAAATCAGGCCTATGTAGATCAACCAGGTCATTATTAGTCAGATGTAAATCAGAGAGAATCAGTCAGGTGAAAATCAGCCCGACGAGAATCAATCAGAAAAGAGTTAAATGAGATATTAATGAGTCGAATTGGAATCAGTCAAATGAAAAAGTTAGATGAGAATTAGTCCGAAGAGAGCCAGTCATATACCAATCAATCACACACGCCAATCAGCAAACAGCCATCAGTCAGGTGGGAACCAGGCGGATACTTATCATTTGCATTATCAGGGAATGAAATACCATTTGCATTATCAGGGGATGAAAACCAGTAATGATAGAAAACCGACTGGACCTGGAAAAGGTACGTAAATATATTTTGAAAACTCATGAGAGCGTACAGTGCACCGCGAAGGACGCAGCGTGGAGGGACAGAAGAGGAATCTCGCTACAATCACCAGGGGCGGCGTAGGACGAGTACGAATTAAGGTTAACAGAAAAGCGTACAGTGCGCTGTGAAGAACGCGGCGTGGACGAAGAATATGAATCCCGCCACCGTCGCGATGTAAGGCACTGGGATCGCCATGCGAACAGGTCGCACGCGAACTAGTATCGCACGAAAAGTGTCGCACGATCAGACGTGCAGGAACAGTATCGCGCAATCGGCGGGCACTCGACCAGCGGAGAGCGATTCGAATCACCCAGACTCGGTAATCGGATCAAGCCGCGCGAGGTCGCCGTTAGGTTCTGTATCGTGCTAATACTACGCTACGCAGCTCTGCTCTGCACTAGAACAGGGGATTTCGGCGTGATCCCTGATTTGACAAGTGGAGTCGAAAATGACAGAAAGGGACTTTCAAAGGAAGCTCGGGTGCGCGGATGATCCGAGTTGAGGGATACTGGGGTTGAAATTTCAGGTTCAGCTCGGTTGATATCATTTTGAACTTGTTTTTGTGAAATATAGTTTTCTTCATCATAAGAAACATTTGTTTCTACAACTCAGCCCGGGCCTACACCTCCATCAGAGTATTGATTGGAGCAGGGTCTGCTTGAAACCCCAAAGATTAGAGAGGGGCAGAGCAAAGCGCATAGATCATGGGCAGATTGAGAAGGTGCATAGGGTTGGTAACAAGAGAAGAAAGGACACATGAGACGGTAGGGAGAGTGGCACGGAGGAAGTCAGGTAACGGAGGAGAGGAGACAGTAAGGGACGACGGAGGAGGCGACGGGAGAACAGCGGGTGGCGGAACACGAGGGGGACGATAACGAAGGAGCACATAGTGGATATCGGGAGCACGAGACACAGGGGAAGCACCAGTACCAAGGGGCGACGGATTCAGGGATGGGAGACACGAGTCAAGAGATATAGGAGGAGACAGATGAGAACGAGGAAAACGATCCGGAGACAAGCCCGGGGGAGGGAACGTAGGACTGTTGACTAGGAAGCGGTGAGGGGAGAATAGGTGGTCGGTCAGTCGAAGGGTAAGACGTGCCAAGAAGCTCAAGTGCAGATACATGCGGTAACGACGACTGCTGTGGCGGCAGCTGCGCCTATGTTTCACGACTGGGGCGGCCTTGCTTACGTCCGCGAACCTCGCACGAACAAGCTCTCATCTCGCACTCTGCCTTGTGTCTCCTTTAGTTTCTTTCTTAATATCCCGAACCCTCGCACTCACGCTGAGGCGTCTTCGGACCCTGAGCCTCTCAGTGGATATCAGTCATGGACGCAGAGATGACATTTTGGAGTTCCACATGCACCTACGTCGACGCACTTCCCCCTCCTGGGGCGAACGTTGTCGATGGCTCGTGGATCTTCAAGCTTGTTACGATATGAAAATTGAGTAAGGCATTCCTGTATGATGCAGGAGCCGACTCTACCGAGTACGAAGTCGAGGAGTCAAAAGAGTCGAAGCGACACCTGTCAGAACCAGCAGTAGAAAGTAAGAATGAAGAAAGGAGGATGTTCACTAGCAAGCAGTTGGACACATATAGCAAACCCTAATTGGGCTGTACTCACTATGGAGTACCCCACTGCAGGCTAGACAATTATAACATTCTGACACACCCCCATAGCCAAAGTGGGGTGTAATCAGCACAACAAGCAAGCATAGTAATAGTTCACAATTATAAGCAAAGCTAGAGGTAATCACAGCGGGCAAGTGAGGAGGAGGAGGGACTGTGAGAGGAGAGAAGATGAGAGACGGCGGCTGAAGCTGCAGACACACGGGCAACAGGAGCTGCTGGCACAGTGGCTACCGGGACAGTGCGCCCCGGACTACTGGAGTAACTGGCTCACGGGCTACGACGAGCTACAGGAGCAACGGACCCTCGGGCGACAGGCGCAGCAGACTCTCTGGGCTACCAGGACAGTGCGCCCCGGACTACAGGTGCTGCGGACGACAAGACAGCAGCCTCCGCTCAACCTCCTCGAACTGTCCCACACACCCCCCACACACCCACTGCTTCACTCCTAACTCCACTTGCACGTCACCCCCCTAGTACCACTCCTTCAGATCCCACACACCCACCCCCCTCAGCGGCAGCTGCAGCACTGGGAGACGGAGGAGGAGGAGGAGCAGGGGACGACGCACAGAAACTGCACCCCCATACCCCCCACCCCCAAACCCTAATTCAGGAGAACGGGCAGCAGCAGGGGTGGGGCGCCGTCAGAAGCACGGGGGACAGCGGGCAGCGCAGGGGCAGAGAAAACAGGGCGCCCACGGGCCTGGCGCAGCCCGTACGAACCGCGTGCGGGCGGCCCGAGGCGCGCCCTGGCCTGGCGCAGTCCGTACGGGCCGCGCGCGGGCCTGGCGCTGCCCGTACGGGCCGCGCGCGGGCCTGGCGCAGCCCGTACGGGCCGCGCGCAGGCTGTACGGGCCGCGCGCGGGCCCTACGCAGGTCGCGCAGGCCGCGACGGGCGACGGGGGGCGACGCGCGGGTCCCCGTCGCCCGTCGCAGCGCCTCCCGGGAGCGACGCGCGGAGTGACGGGGCAGAAAGCCGCCGCGCGCCTCGGGGCGCACGGCGGGCAGAAAACCGCCGCGCGCCTCGGGGCGCACGGCGGGCAGAAAACCGCCGCACGCTCCGAGCGCGCGGCGGGATGAAAAATCCGTCGCACGCCACGGGGCGTGCAACACACAGAGTAGCAGTAGCAGCGGAAGCAGTGAGGTGGTGGGCCCACCCACAGGATCGACCCATGGGGATCGACCTGCTCTGATAGCATGTCAGAATCTAGCAGTAGAAAGTAAGAATGAAGAAAGGAGGATGTTCACTAGCAAGCAGTTGGACACATATAGCAAACCCTAATTGGGCTGTACTCACTATGGAGTACCCCACTGCAGGCTAGACAATTATAACATTCTGACAACACCAGCAACCGTCAGATCAAGACCGATGCAAGCAGATGCATTTGAACTGAAAAGAGCGGGAACAGGTTTGAAATGGGTTCCCGCGCCGCACGGTTGAACTTCGCTGTAATAAGGGAATGTACCCCTTAGAGTACATGGCTAGCATAGGTCGTTTCGTATTCCCTGTACCCTATATATAAACACGATGTATGCATGCTTTTTATTATCTCAGTCATTTACATTCACTCCGATCTCATGTCAATACTTCCGCTGCAACAACTCAACCCGCGATCAATCATGAGACGATTCTTCGCTAAGTCCTGTTTAGGATTGTAACATGGTATGAGAGCTACTCAGGGATTTTTTGCAACATCACTTCCATAAAATTCGCCGAACCAAGATCTGCTGCGACAAATGAGGCGACAACTACGATAAGCACAGCTGCGCTCGAGCAGTTGTTTTCGCGACTATCTACCATGGAGAAAGATCTCCAAGCACTCCGCAAAGGCGACGCGGGAACCTCTTCACAAATAACACAACCTGCTCAACCGGCCACAAAAAGCCGTGATACCACCGCGCATACCTTCTCCCTCGACACAGACAAGTCAACACCAACAGCCCCCCATCCAAGTGATGAAGTCATTAATTCTGCGCAAGCACGTTTTCTCAGCATCTCCAAAATCAAGACCACCGCCGCGTTCAACGGCAAGGACTTCTATACATGGAGTTTTGAGCTAGAGCTCCTCCTACAAACAGCGCAGATATACCATTACTTCGACGGCTCCTATCCTAAACCGGTGGAAGACACCGAAGACGACCGGGCTCAATTCTACAGTGAGTCCCTCATGGCGTACAACGTGCTGCTAAGGAACATGACGCCCGCGGAGCAACTCGGCATCCGCTCATACAAAGAGAGTGCCGCTCCAGCCTTGGAAGCCTGGAAGCACCTCGTTGAGCCGAAGGACTCAGTCACCTCCAGCAGGCTCCTGCAGGAACTCATGGAGACAAAGATGGGGAACGGGGAGAAAACAAATTCGTACATCAACCGCTGTCGGAACATCCGTGATCAAATCACGAAGCATGGAGGCGCAATTTCGGAGGAAATCTTCGTCAACATAGTCCTTCAAGGACTCGGGCCCGAGTGGAAGCCCTGCAAAGCGCTGCTCCGACAAAGGGGAACAATTTCAGAAGCCACCTTGTGCGCCGCTCTTCTGACAGAACAGCAAGACATGGACTAAAGCAAGTCCAACTCCGCGCCACGACGGAACCAGCTCCCCTTCTGCGCCGACAATCAAGAAGAGCGACGACAACCGAGGCGCCACTACTGCAAAATATGCAAGATATTTGGACATTCAACAAACCAATGCAGGTACCGGTTCAACAATCGCCCCCAGAACCCCACTCACCAGAATAACTGAGCTGGCCGACAAGACGCTCGTAATTCTCAGCCTCAACACCAAGCTCCTCGTCCACCTGCTCAACAACATCAGCACCAGCAGACACAAGCACCCCAACCGGGAGCTACCAGAAACGTAATCGCGAACATGGCGACAAGGCGTCGCCCACGAGCTCCTTCGCCGGACGAAGAGGACGAACCTATCGGCGCGCTAATCCAACCTGAAGAAGGCTATAACAATCCCTTCACAGAACACAACTACTACTACGAAGACGAAGACGAGCAAGAATGGCACCTGCCGATACAACTGAGAGAAAGCCCACCCCACGAGCGTCAGCACTTGGTTCCCGTCGGATGGAAGGAGGATGAAAATTTCCTCAGAAGATACCAGCCAACCATTGTTACTTCGCGGCTCGCACTGCTTCTCCGCAACAACAATCGCGCCCACAACACCTGGTACCTGGACAGCTGTTGCAGCCAGCACATGGTGGGATCCGTCCGCTACATCTCGAACATCAGCCGCGCTCCCGCCACCTACGTTACTGTCGCCAACAACGAGCAGTTGCGCGCAAACGCGCAAGGCATCGTCGTGCTCCAAGCACGAGACAGCAATACGCACATCACCTTCAATGACGTGCTCTACGTGCCGGACTTACGTTTCAACTTGCTGTTCGCGGCACAACTCTCTGACTGCGGGGTCACGTTCACCACCGACATTCTCACCCGCGACTTATTCTCGCCTACGCTCCTCTTTATACCCCCGTCGAAACACACAAGTACCTCGGAAGAGCACGTTCAATCGACGGAGTTTACGTGCTCGACTTCGACATACCTGACTGCAGAGC